CAAGAAAAAGGCAATTTTAAGGGCTGAGGTATATAGCTCAGTTAGTAGAGTGCTTGCCTTGCATGCATAATGCCCTGAGTTTAACCTCCAGTACCACAAAAAAAGAAAAAGGCAACTTTAAAATGGTAGGAAGGTTCTGTGGTACTCTTAGTTGCCTGTGTCTCAACCTGTTCCTGGCATTTTTAAAGAAGGCAGCTTGTGTTCTCATCTTGGGACCATGGTCTCTTGTTCCAGGGTGTGTAATAAATAGATCTTAAGAATTGTTGTTGTTGGGCTGGGGATGTGGCTCAAGCAGTAGCACACTCACCTGGCATGCGTGGGGCCCTGGGTTCAATCCTCAACACCACATAAAAATAAAATAAAGATATTGTATCCACCTAAAACTAAAAAATAAATATTAAAAAAAAAAAAGAATTGTTGTTTATTCTAGCCTGTCTGGGACTCCCAAAAGGACCGATGCAAGGTGTGCATACATGTCTGTTCTTCCTAACTCAGATCCTAGAGCAGGAAAGCAGTAGGCTTAACAGCATTGTAAAGTGACTGGGACCCTCCACAGGCACCTGGGGCATTGATCAGCCACCTGCAGCCCAGGAAGAAAAGCTGGTAAGAGACTTTCTTGGGGGAAAATCAGGATATTCTGAAGCACAATTGGGGGATTTAGAAAACCACATTAATGCCCAGGACAGGCTGTGAACTCAGAAAAGGCCTGTAAAGACCCTAAGCTTTCATCTCCAGCTGGTCTCCAGGCTCAAAGGAAGCAGGAAATGGAGAAGTGCTGCTCACGATGTTACAGAAGGGCCTAGAACAGAACCAGTACACAGATGGTGAACAGTGCTTTGTTTTCCTTTTGTTCTTAAGATTGGTGGTAATCTGTCAAAATAGTATAGTAGCCAAAGGGTTAGGGATATAACTCAGTGGTAGAACACTTGACAAGCATTCACAAGGCACTGAGTTCAATTCCCAGCATCACCAAAAAACAAATAAAATCAACACAAGCTAAGGAAATAACCCACAGTGTATAAAAAATATAAACTGTGTACAAACCTTGTAATCTCAGTGACTCGGAAGACTGAGACAGTCACAAGTTTGAGGCCAGCCTCAGCAAATTAACAAGGCCCTAAGCAACTTGTTAAGACCCTCTTTCAAAATTAAAATATAAAATAAGTAAATAAAATATAAATAAAATAAATAGGACTAGGATGTAACTCAGCAGTAAAGAACTAGGTTAAATCCCCAATTCTAGGTCGGGTGCAGTGGCTCATTCCCTGCACAGGCCAGGGAATGGGTTTCCCTTTGGTGGGATGGGCTCGCTGAGAAATAAAAGCTAAGAAAAGTAGAACAGTGAAATGACCACAGAACACAGAAAGTAATTTCTTTTTTTTTTTTTTTTTTTTTTTTTAGAGAGAGAGAATTTTAATATTTATTTTTTAGTTTTCAGCGGACACAACATCTTTGTTTGTATGTGGTGCTGAGGAACGAACCTGGGCCACACGCATGCCAGGCGAGCACGCTACCGCTTGAGCCACATCCCCAGCTCCAGAAAGTAATTTCAAGAAGGGTACAGAGACAAGCAAAGCTGACCAGACGGGTCCGGCTTCTAACAAAGAAAGGAGCCTATGTTTGCTTTATTTTTAACAGAAGACATCAAAGAAATTCTATGGAAAGTTCTTCACCAAAACAGGATAGAGATGGGGGCAGGTAGGCTGCTCCATTCCTAGCAGAGTCATGCCCATCTCCAGTGCTGCGTGGGACCTTCTGGCAGAGCAGAGGGGAAGTTCACTTGCATCAGGCAGTCTATCCTGGTGGCACTGCCACAAGAAGTTCCCAGTGCCAGTCTACCCACTCCTTGGCTACGATGCTGAAAAGGTCCTCATGTATTTCACAGATGGCTTCCCGCATATTCCCTCTTTTTACTTTGTAAATGTAAATGATGAGCTGTTAGTTCAAGCTCCCACATTTTTGTTCTAAGGGTACGACAACCTATTGATACAAAAGAGAATTAGTAGCAAACATATCATACCAATAACATACCATACAGAATGTTTCAGCGTATTTCCAGGATTAAAGCCATTCAATTCTTGAAGTATTTGGTCAGCTAGAAGGTAGGGTTCGTAAGATTGATTTTGCTTTTTTAAATATCCTGGATGTGACAATGTAACTCCATAGATCCAGGCTACTATTATTGCTATGCCAAATACCCATTAGATGATTTTTAACCTTTCCATAATCCCATTGGGAAGTATTATATTTGGCCACAATAATAAGAGACATATTTATAGTCAGCGTGGCATTTAAGCCTTTTCTTAAAGCAGAAAGCTCATTACCAATATTTATGACAGTAGCTTCCAAGGCATTCAAATTAGTTTCAATCTTTTCATCAATATTTATCTGATTGGGGCTGGGGTTGTAGATCAGCAGTAGAGTACTCTTGCCTAGCACGTGTGAGGCCCTGGGTTCAATCCTCAGCATCACATAAAAATACATTAAAAAAAAAAAAAAAGGTACAATACCTTTTTGTCCAACTACAACTAAAAAATAAATATTAACAAAATTTATCTGATTATGGAGGGCTTTGGGAGTATTTTGAGCCAAATTATTAAGAAAATTTGCATGTTGAATGTTTTGAGATACAGCCACTGAGGCTATTACAGTAGAAGTGATGAATGAAATTAAAGCAGCCCCTCCAAGAATTATGAAACCAAGAGTGCACTTGGGTCTGGTTAACTGAGCATGTATCTGTTGTAAGATCTGAACACCAGCATCAGCATACCATGGGTCTGAAATGTTGGCTGTAGTAAGACAAAGGAGGATTGGTGAAGCATTAACATTCTTCTCCCTCTGTTAAATCTAGTGATGCAGTTAGTTAGATTGTACCTTTTATAGGCTATAAGATATTTATCACCTTTTTTCTTAACTCTTACATTTCTAGTAACTAAAACATACGGAGATTGAACACAGGCTCATAGGCCATAGCAGGAACCCTTTTTGCAATTCCTGCTATCTGTATAATGTAGAAAGTCTGAGGCTACAATTAAGCACCAGAGAGCTTTTCAAATACCACCCTTGCCAAAGGTTAGAATATTACCAATGAAACCTCCAGGGGTCATGGCATCCTTACATAATTGTCTTTTTATCAATTCTTGGAGTCCAGTCCAAAATATATCCACTATTTCTAGAAACTTGTACTGGCAAGACCTTTGCACATTCCATCCATTTAGGAAAGGTACCAAACAAATTCTAATACAGAACAATTAGGACAGTAAGGTATTGGTGGACGTTCTGCAGAGATGACTGGCTTGTTAGGAGAAAATCCCATTTTAATAACTGTTAAACATATGTCCTTGAGTCACAGGGGTAGGTAGATTGACTGGTCTAGCCACCCCTCCCCGCATATGCTGTCTTTTCCTCAAAAGATACCCTTAAACAGCCAGCATGTTTTATCATGGAACCAACATATAAGTAGTTGTCCATGGTAACTAGTATAATTAAATCCAGTCACATGGATGGGTGTAATATGAGTGTCTGTAAAGCCACCCAGCATATGAGTATCATTCGTAAATACTGGGATGGATTCTGCAGTTCACATAGCTGGGTGTACTAAAGGTGGATCTGGAAAATATGTCCAGTAGCCTTCTCCATGGACCCCACTAACCTGACAGCTCAATAGAGCCATCGTAAGCCACAAACTTTATAGCTGGAGACTTAGTTTCTCCTTGTTGTTGAACCATCTTTTCAGCCTGTTGCATCATATTCTTCAGTTGTTTCCATGATGGCAATTTGGACATTTGGTTTCTCTGGGCCTTTTCTGTCCTTTTCACTCCTTACTAGCTTCCTCTTCCTCTTGGGGGGTCAGGGCTGACATCTCTGAATGGATCTTTAGTCGTTTGAAACTTGAACATAATTTGTGGACCCAAGAAAGAGGAGAGAAGGGAAAGGGGTAACAAGAACATCTGAAAATATAATGGACAGAATGTCCCAAATTTGATGAAAGATATAAATCTGCATATCCAAGAAGCTCAACAGACCCAGTAGGATAAACTGAAAGATCCACACCAAGTCTTGTTTTAATTAAATTGTTCAAAGACAACAATGTAACAAGAAAAAAGAGACTCCTCCAGTACAAGGGATCTCAATCAGTAAGGTTAATATCTGATTTTTCTTCAGAATTCATGGAGGTCAAAATGCAGTGGGATGAAATATTAAAGTGCTTAGAGATTCAACCAAGAATTTTAAATGTGGCAAAAATTATCTTTCAAACTAAAAGAGAAACTAAGACATTCCCAAATAGACAACAGCTTGATGTGGTTTGTTATGGTCCTAAAGGTTAAATGAAAGGACAGTAGACAGAGACTCCAAGACATACAAGAAATAAAGACCTCGAATAAAGGTAATTACATACAAGCAAGTATAAAAATTAGTATTATTGTATTTTTGGTTTGTGAATACACCTTTTTATTTCCCACATGATTTAAAGAACAAGTGCATAAAAAGTAACAAGTCTGGGGCTGGGGTTGTGGCTCAGTGGTAGAGCACTTGCCTATGGTCTGTGAGGCACTGGGTTCCATTCTCAGCATCACAGATAAATAAATGAAGGTCCATCAACAACTGGTAAAATATTAAAAAAAAAAAAAAAAAGTAACAAGTCTGAGGTTTGGTTTGCTTTTTAGGGGCTGGAAATTGAACTCAGGGCCTCACACATTCTAAGAATGCATTCTACCACTGGTCTGCACCTCCAGGCCAATCAGCCTATAAAATATTTTGAGCCTATAATGAATAATTTTTGTTTGTACTAGGGATTGAACCCAGGGTCACTCAACCAGTGAGCCCCATCCCCAGTTCTTTTTTGTATTTTTTAAATTTAGAGACAGGGTCTCAATAAGTTGGTGAGGATGGCTGTGAACTCACAGTCTTCCTGCCTAAGCCTCCCTAGCCACTGGCATGACAGGCATGCACCACTACACCTCGCCTAAAGTAATTTTTGATGACTGCAAATTATAAGAGCTATATAGGAGCAGAATTTTTGTGTGCTATTGAAGCTAAGTTCGTATCACTTGTTTTAGGATGTTCATGTAAACACTAAGAAAATATCTGGCAAATGTATACAGAAGGAATTAAAGAGAAAATTACTTTTGCAAAAAATTAACTGAACCCAAAAGTAGGCAGCAATAGAGGAATTAAGGGATGCAATGTAAAAGATGTACCAAAAATAAATAGCAAAGCCAGGCAAGGTGACACACACCTGTAATCCCAGAGGCTCAGAAAGCTGAGGCAAGAGGATTTCAAGTTCAAAGCCAGCCTCAGCAACTTAATGAGGCCCTGTCTCAAAATAAAAAAGGGCTAGGAATGTGGCTGAGTGGTTAAGTATATCTGGTTTCAATCCCTGGTATCAACAACAACAAGTAGCAAAATGTCCTTCCTTTTTACTAACCACTTTAAATGTAAATGGATTAAACTTCCCAGTCAGAAGGCAGGTATTGACAAAATGAATAGAAAAGCACAGTCCAACTGTATGCTGTCTACAGAAGGCTTACTTTAGATTCAAAGATATAAGCTTAAAGTGAAGTGAGATGTGAAAAAGATGTTCCATGTAAATCATAACCCAAAGAGAACTGGGATGACTATGCTAATATCAGACAAAACAAACTAAGTCAAAATTTCTTACCAGAAAGGAAGGAGGTCATTATATGGAGACCTCAGTACCCTTATCCCAAAGTATAGCTAGAACATGTAGACAGAATATCATTAAGGAAAGAGGGGACTTGAGCGACACTGTAAAATAATTGGACTTGAATGCTTCTGTCCTTCTGAAATTCATTTCTGTTATGAATCCCTAATGTATTGATATTAAAATGAGGATATGGGGAGATGATTAGGATCTACATCTACAACTAAAAAAAAAGAAATTTTTTTAAAGGAAGAAAAATATCTAATCAGTAACCTAACTTTACATCTTGAGAAACTACAAAAAGAAGAGCAAACTAAACTCAAAGCTCCAGAAGGAAGCAAATAATAAAGATTAGATCAAAGATGAGTAAAATAGAAAAACCATAGAATCAACACAGGCAAAAATTCTTGAAAAGATTAGCACAAGTGGTAAAACCCTTAGATTTACAAAGGACAAAAGATGATGTGACTGATGGGCTGAGGTTGTGGCTCAGTGGTAAAGTGCTCGCCTAGCATGTGTGAGGCACGGGGTTCGATCCTCAGCACCACATAGAGATGAAGTGAAGATATTGTGTCCACGTAAAACTAAAATAAATAAAAGATGATGTGACTGAAAGTAGGAATATTATTACCAACCTTACCAAAAAAGGAAGATATAATACCGTGAATGGTTTTGTACCAACAGGTTAGATAGGCTGTAAGAAAGCAAAAAAATTTATAGAAACACAAAAATTATGAAAATTGACTCTATCTAAACATACCAGTAACAAACAACAAGTTTGAATTAGTAATTAAAACTCCCAGCAAAGAAAAGTTAAGAATTAAACTACCTTCACTGCTAGCATTTAATGAATACCCAACTTTCTCAATTCTTTCAGCATATTGAAGAGGAGGGAACATTAATTTATTCTGTGAGGCCAGCAATAAATACCCTGATACCCAAGCCAAACAAAGAGCCTATAAAAAAAGAAAATTACAAACCTGTATCACTTATGGCTAAAGATGCAAATCTCTGAAAAGCATAATATCAAACTAAATACAGGAACATCTTAAAAGTATTCTATCCTATGACCACATGGGGTTTAGCCCAGGAGTAGAAGAGTATTTCAGCTCCAAGAGAGCCAATCAGTGTGATCCACCAAAGGAACAGAAAGAAGTATGAAAACCATGATCACCTCAACTCATGCAGAAAAAAACTGGGCAAATTCCAACTTTGATGATTTTAAAAAAACCAAACAAACTGATAAAAGGCACATGGGGAAAACCACAGCTGACATCATGCTCAGAAGTAAAAGACTAACATTTGCCCTAATATTAGGAACAGGAGAGAGATGGCCTGCATCACCACTGCTGCTCAGCATTGTACTGGAAGTACAGATTCCAGAGCAGTTAGACAAGAAAATGAAATAACCAATGTCCAAAGCAGAAAGAAAGATGTAAAATGATTTCCATAAGACAACTCCATATGTATGAACCACAGAATCCACAGGAAAACTACTAGAGCTAATAAATTCAGCAAAAGTTTGGGGCCCAGATCACTGTTTACACACACCAGCAATGAACCAATCTGAAGGGGAATTAAGAACACACTTCTATTTACATTAGCATCAGTGGTAGGGGGAAATCCCAGGAATAATTTTAATCAAGAAGATATAAAACTTATTCACCAAAGACTGCAAAACATTGTTAAAAAAGATCAAAGCAAGCAAGAAAACAGAAGACATCTTGTGTTCACAACTTGGAGGACTTAATATTCTTAAGATGCCCAAACTATACAAAATGGCTACAGATTCAGTGCAATTTCTATCAAAATTTCAGTGGCATTTTTTTGCAGAACCTAAAAGGTTCATCCTTAAATTCATGTGGAATTACAAAGGGCCCTGAATGGCCAGTCTTGGAGAACAGAGTTGGAGGATTTACGTGACTCGGTTTCAGGCTTACTACAAAACTGCAGTAGTCAAAATTGTTTGGTCCTGTCATGAAGATGGAATTGACTATCCAGAAATAAATCCATACATCTGTGACCAGTTGCTTTTTAGCAGGGATGATAAGATCTTCCAGTCTATGAGGAAAGATAGCCCTTCAATACATGGCACTGTAGCAAGTAACCCAACATCCCAGAGTTGGAACCAGGCACAGCAGTGCACACCTGTGATCCTGGCAACTCAGGGGGCTGAGGAGGAAGATCACAAGTTCAAGGGAAAGTTTTATTTTGTTTTTTAATTTTGTTAATTTTGTTAATTTTTTAGTTGTTGATGGATTTTTATTTATTTATATGTGGTGCTGAGACTCAAACCCAATGCCTGGCACATGCTAGGCAAGCCCTGTACCACTGAGCTACAACCCCAGCCCAAGGCAAAGTTTGATCACAAGTTTTGAGTCTCAATTTTTCAAAAAGGGTGGGGGAACTTGGGCTGTATCTCAATGGTAAAGCACCTCTGGGTTCAATCCCCAGTACAAAAAAAAAAAATGAAGCTGGATTCCTACCAATGCTGTATACAGAAATTAATTGAAATGAATCAAAGATATTAAGAGCTTAGAAAGCATCAAAGTCTTGGAAGGAAATAGGAGCAAATCTTCACAACCCTGCATTTGGCAATGAATTCATTAGAACATCAAAGGCACAAGCAACAAAAGAAAAATAAATGAATTTGACTTGATCAATCAAAGGACATTATCAAGAAAGTACAAAGACATCCTACATAATGGGGGCAAATCTTTGTAAATCATGTTATGTGATAAAGGTCTAGTACTGGAATATATTAAAGAAGTCTTACAATCCAACAACAAAACAACACACCTTAAAAATGGACAAGGAGCCAGGTGTGGTGGCACATGCCTGTAATCCCAGCAACTTGTGAGGTTGAGGCAGGTTTGCAAGTCCAAGACCAGCCTCAGCAACTTGCAAGATTCTGTCTCAAAATACATTTTGAAAAATGGGCTAGGGAAGTAGCTCAGTAGTAGAGCAACCCTTGGTTCTATCCCCATTACCGGAGTAGGCAATGGGTTTGGAGGGCTGTGGGTAGGCAAAAGACTGACTACAAATAAATGACTAACAAATGAAAAGAGGCTTAACATCATTAGTCAGTAAAGAACTGCAAATCAAAACCAGAATCAGATTGCCACTAGAGTGTCTGTCCACAATAAAAATAAAAATTAAAAAAAAAAAAAGACATTGCTCTGTAATGAAGGGTGGGTGGTTGCATAGCACTGTGAACGTGCTAAATGCCACCAAGTTGCTTACTGTAGAATAGTTAACTTCCGTAGTGTGAGTTCCATCCTAATAAATCATAAAATGGAAACAGAATCCCCTGCAAGAGGTGGGCATAGTGGAGCCACCTGAATGTGAGGTGTTTCTTTGGGGTCTGTACCACAGGTGGGCTGGCCTTGCACTGAGATGGCTGCTACACCCCATGATTTGTGACAGGTGACAGTCATGTGGGATCCCAGGAGTGTGGTCATGGCTAACGGACTCGAAGCCATGTTGCACACATCTGAAAGCCATTATTCAAACACCATTCACAGAAAGGTATTGTCTCCCAAAGGAAATACTGTCAGATGATTTTGTGCTAGAAGGGCTGACTCCCAGTACATAAGAATGTAGTGCAGGCAACTGTTTACTGTCAGATCTTTTCCTTTGCCTTTAAACATAAGTTTTAGTAATATTTCCTAGATTTTCCTAAATGGAAACTATTTTTCTGATTTTTATAGTTCCTTTTTAAAGAACTTTTTATCATTCTTTGCTACAGTTTGCAGGTTGCAAAGATAAAGTACATCGAATTTAATAAGTCCATAAAGTGATCTTCTACCATTCACAGAATTCATTTTTGATACCTGTCTCAATAAAACTGATTTAAACCATGACTCAGGCTAGAAAGCCCTATTGTCACACCAGTGACATTCAGTCAGGACACCAGATTCCGCTGGCAGACTGTATTTTATGGCTAGCAGGCTTATACTGGTTTTGAGGGTTTTTAAGGGTTGTTTGTTTTTTAAAAAAAAAAAACAACAAAGATCATTTCACAAGCCAAGCAACCAAAAAGCTTCAGATAGGTTCTCTCTGACCTGTACAGAAAATCATTACTGACTGCTGTTTCTAGACCCCATGGAGCCCGGGTTCCTGCAGTCTGTGTGGAATATGACACAAAGGGCAGCAGGAAGGAAAGAGGCACCACTGTCCCTGTAGGCATAGGTAGCAGTTCCATGGGTGTACTGCATCCTGCAGGGGCACTGTGGCTGAGAATGCCTGTGAGAAGCATGAAGCCTCACCATAGACACATGAGTGCAGCAGGCAGCAGCTGGGCCTGTGAGGGCTGGCCATGTGGCCAGATCAGTCTGCAGTGATGCCATTGGCAGCTCCTGGGCACAGATATGTCCATGCTGGAAGCAAGTTCTGGATGTCACAGATAGAATAGGGAGAAGCACTGAGAGAACAGGACAAAGGTACCATTAGGCCAAGGAGGCAGCACAGGGCACTGGAAGGGTACCCCTCACCACCAAGCATCAGTGACTGCAGCTGGCCGTCCTATGTCAGGGAGTGGTCCAGGCAGTATAGGAGACAGCAGGGACAGGTGATGAAGAGAAGGGGGTTGGCATACATACAGTGGTCAGGGAAAGGCTGTCTAGCAAGGTGTGTTTGAGCAGAGGCCAGCAGGAAGGCCACATGGAGAGTGTTCCAGGCAGGGTGAGCACCATAACTTGGAACTGGCTTTGCTTCTTATAAAGGAACAGGCTGCTGCTCATCTGAAGCAGGCTTTATCTCCCATGCTGGTGAATCCTGAGACCAAGCCTGAATGCCACAAGCTGGCACTGAGAGAACAAAAGATGGGCCTAAGAGGTTTTTGGTATGAAGAAAAAAGGTAAAGTGTGTAACAGTATAAGAAAGCATGTGATTTTCCTTGTATGATTTTCCTTGTATGATTTTCCTTGTATGATTGGGAGGGCACCTGAATTGAGGCATATTCCCAATTAGAGCTCACTGACCTTGCTGATGGCCTACTATGGGTGTGACAGGAAGTGGGAGCCAAAAGCCACCCGAGTCTTGACCTGAGCCAGTGTGCAGGCTGGTGCATTCTTGAAATGTGGATCCTAGGGAGAGTGGGTTCCCTCCCTTCCTTCCTTCCTTCCTTCCTTTCTTTTTAATAATGTTATTGTATTATTTTATTTATTTATAAACCCAATGCCTCATACATGCTAGGCAAGCACTCTACCACTGAGCTATATCCACAGCCCCGAGGGTGGGATCTTGATCATCCTTAGCTCCCCTGCAGCCTTGTGACCTCAGCTCTTACAGCCTCTCCCTGGGCTTTTTGCAAGACCAGGGGCTGCTGCTGGCAGTGGGATCTCTGCTTTCTTCACCAGCTCCTCCATAGAGGTGAGGTCAGCAGCTCTGCAGACCCATCTGTGTCTGCTGTTCCTGTCACTGTGGTTCCTTATATAACTTCAGTGTTTGTTGTTTCAGATTGTGGTATTAGGACAGAGGACAAGGAGTTTCACCCAAAGGAAGACGTTTTGGAGGATTTGGAATCACAGGCAGAAATGTCAGAAGACTGTGCTGGTGATATTTCCCAGGTATCTGAGCTTGGAGGACTTTGTGATGACATATTAGCCAGAGACTGGGGTGTCCCTGAAGGCAAGAGCCTGGGGCAGTCCACACACCGGGATGGAGATTTGATGTCAGTAACAGTGCTCCTTAAGGGCCCTTTAGGGGAGAAAGGTCTGGACTGCAGTGGTGTTGACCAAAGCTTCAATCTGAGCCCCAGCCAGATGACACATCAGGAAGTCCCTACAAAAGAGAAGCTGCATCCAGATGACACAGATGGCCAGAGCTTTCAACACAGTGTGTACCTAAGTGGCCCTGAGGGGCTTCCCATAGCTGAAAGCCCACTCATATGTAATGGGTGTGGAAAAACCTTCAGTGGCAACCTTGACCTTATTCAGCATCAGATAAACAGCACTGGAGAGAAGTCCTGTGAGTGCAGTGAATGTGGAGCACCCTTCAGTCAGAACTCGGTTGTTAAAAAACCCCATCGAGCTCACTTGAATATGAAAGCCTACCAGGGGCACACAGGCCCTGCTGGGTGTCAGGGTCTCCCCAGCAGTGAGAAGCCGTATGTGTGTAATGAATGTGGGAGAGCCTTCAGCCAGAACGCAAGCCTTAAAAAGCACCAAAAGTCTCACATGAATGAGAAGCCCTATGAATGCAACGAATGTGGGCAGGCTTTCAGGCGCAGCTCCAACCTCATTCAGCATCAAAGAATTCATTCAGGGGAGAGACCATATGTGTGTGAGGAATGTGGTAAGGCCTTCAGGCGGAGCTCAAATCTCATTAAACACCACAGGGTTCACACAGGTGAGAAGCCTTTCGAGTGTAAGGAGTGTGGGAAGGCCTTCAGCCAGAGCGCACACCTCAGGAAGCACCAGAGGGTTCACACTGGAGAAAAGCCCTATGAATGTAACGATTGTGGCAAACCCTTCAGTCGTGTCTCCAACCTCATTAAGCATCACAGGGTTCACACTGGAGAGAAGCCTTACAAGTGCAGCGACTGTGGGAAAGCCTTTAGTCAGAGTTCCAGCCTTATTCAGCACCGACGAGTTCACACTGGAGAGAAACCTCACGTGTGCAGCGTGTGTGGAAAAGCGTTCAGTTATAGCTCAGTGCTCAGGAAGCACCAGATAATCCACACAGGAGAGAAGCCGTATGGATGTGGTATCTGTGGAAAGGCCTTCAGCCACAGCTCAGCCCTCATCCAGCATCAGGGCGTGCACACTGGCGACAAGCCCTACGAGTGCCGCGAATGTGGGAAGACCTTTGGTCGCAGCTCCAACCTCATCCTTCACCAGCGAGTCCACACTGGAGAGAAACCCTATGAATGCACTGAGTGTGGAAAGACCTTTAGCCAGAGCTCAACCCTTATTCAGCACCAGAGGATTCATAATGGGTTGAAACCCCATGAATGTAACCAGTGTGGTAAGGCCTTCAACCGAAGCTCCAATCTCATTCACCACCAGAAAGTTCACACTGGAGAGAAGCCCTATACGTGTGTTGAGTGTGGTAAGGGCTTCAGCCAGAGCTCACACCTTATTCAGCATCAGATAATCCACACTGGTGAGAGGCCGTATAAATGCAGTGAGTGTGGGAAGGCCTTCAGTCAGCGTTCAGTTCTGATCCAACACCAGAGGATTCACACTGGGGTGAAGCCCTACAACTGCGCTACTTGTGGGAAAGCCTTCAGCCAGCGGTCAAAGCTGATTAAACACCAGTTGATTCATACCAGGGAGTAACTTGTGGGCTAAAAGGAGTAAAACTGAACCATGGTTCCTTTCTGACACCTATGGATCCTTGTTTCAGCCTCTCCCTTCCCAGGCCTGAGGCTCACTCACTGCCCTCCACTCCATACAAAGCCTGGAGCCCTCCTTGGAAACACTCTTTCCAGACTCCCTCCCCTTCCATTGCTTTCAGATCCTGTGATCTCTCGTCTGTTTTTTCTGTTTTATTTTTATTATGAGCAGACTGTCACATTGGTTAGGTGGCAAAGAACATGAGGGCCACATATTCATGAATGAAGTTTATCATGATGATGAAAATTACCAAAAAGTAAAGTGATCTTTGATTGGAGATAACCACAGTAACTCTTTTGTTAGTCGTGGGAGTGAGTTCTCTGTCAGTGACTGACTCACTCTCGCTCTCTCTATATATATATATACACATACATACACACACACACACGCATATATACATACATATATATACACACACATATTTAATATGACATCAAGTGGAGGGAGTTTTCAGGTCTGATTGCTCTCTTATTGTCCCCAGAGGTGGTATGCCAATTATTTATTCTTCTATCCCTCCCTTTCTGCAACTTGTACCCAGACCCCCACTGCCTTGCTTCCCTGTGCATACCTGTGGTCAGTTAGTCATCCTCCTTGCTGCTGTGCTATGACCCAGGTCCCAGCCTCTGGTTTCTGTGCCTCCAGTGCTGGACCCACAATGGCAGCTCTTTGTACCTCCTTTTCCAGTGAGGAAGCTTCCAGGATCAATCTTCTCCCAGATCAGTCTTCATCACCAGACATCTTTTAAGCAAGTACCAGGTGCCCTGCCCTAGGGCCCACCTCCTCAGTGTCCCCTATGCCCTGAAAAGGAGACAGGTTAGGTGCAACATAGATGTTACAAGAGAGGCCTCTGAACTCCAGCCAGCAAGTTGCAAGAACAGAGTGTCGCAGGACCCAGACAGAATCTGACCCACCACCTGTCAGTAAATAAAAGTTCTGTTGGGGTACAGCCATGCCTATTTGCTTACACATATCTACAGCAGCTTCTGTGTGGCAGAGTTGAGTAGTTGTAGACATCATATGGCCCACCAAACCAGAGTATTTACTTTCTAGCCTTTACAGAAGAAGTGTGCAACCTGGCTTTAGGCAGCTACCCTGTGGTAGGTGACTCTCAGGGCCAGGCTTTGCCAGAGGCTCACAGTTGTTGTAGGAATCAAGGTATGATGTCTTGATCAGGAGTATAGTTTGTGCTGTGCAGTGGTTTCCCGTGTACAGTGGATGGTTCCTGAGCAGTTGCCACAGCCTCTGAGGATCCCTCCCTTCTCACCTCTTCCTAACACTATTCCTCAGGAGGAACATGCAGCCTAGCATGGACCTGAGTTCTTGCTTCAGTTTTGTGAGAACTAAACATCCTGGTCGTGGCAGCCTTGGTTAGATATTACCATTCATAGAATATTAGAATCTCAGAATCACTAGGAGAGCTAAAGAAACAGGTTTGGGGCCAACTTCAGGAAAGATTCCAGAACCATCTGTGCAGCAGCCCTGCAACTTGTAGCTGTTCTGTACTTGGGATTCCTAGGTGTCTACAAGAATCTAAGTGGAGAAAGAGAGAGCTATTAAATGAATCTGAACCTTAAAGCAGATTTGGGATGGAGATGTCAACTTGAAAATCACTGGCATTTTTTTTAAGAGAGAATTTTTTTAATATTTATTTTTAGTTTTTGGTGGACACAACATCTTTATTTTATTTTTATGTGGTGCTGAGGATCAAACCCAGAGCCCCGCGCATGCCAGGCGCTACCTCTTGAGCCACATCCCCAGCCCCATCACTGGCATTTTTTAAGATGTGGGACTAGGAATGTAGCTTAGTGGTAGAGCTTTTGCTTAACATGTCTGGGGCCCTGAGTTCAGTTCCAAGCACTGCCAAAATTAATAATAAAATGGGATATGAATCTCTGGAAAAGCATGAGATAATTAGGGAGAGGATTAGGAAGGGAACTCGGAACAGAGGATTGATACTCCCAACACTGAGCATTGGCTAGTGAGAAGGTGGGTCTTGAGACACCCAGCATTAAATATTGTTGCAGGAAGAGCAACACAGCACCTGTGGGGAAGAGGGACGCAAGTGACCAGGAGGGGTTACCACATCAAACGCTGTGGTGAAGAGATGTGGCTGCCCAAAGACCTGCTTTGTTGGAGTAGGAGGGCAGGAAGGAGCCAGGCAGTGTGAGGCTGGTGGAAGTGGAAGGAAGAATGAATTAAGCCCTTCCAAAGCCAAGAGGGGTAAGTTTTGAACAGTCAGAGGCTTCTGCATTGCTCCAGGTACAGAGAAAATGGACAATATAGTTAGTTTTGTAGGTATGGTGGGAAGGTGAGGTTCCAGGACAGAAGAGGCAAGATCATCCACTAAAAATGGGGATAGGGAAGTTGTGGACAATGTGAAGAAAAGAAAAGGAAGAGTTGGCTAGGAGTAGGGAAGGTCTGGACTTGAGCTGGATGGGCTGTGCCCCAAGTCTCAACCCAAAAGCAACATCTGCACTCTGCTCTAAGGTTTCACCTCCACCGGCACACCCTTACCAAGGCAAATCCCTGCAGAGAAACAGCCACCTCTGGAGTTTTGAGATCACTCCCTGCAGCATAGAAAGAAAAGGAAGGCCTACTTTTTTTTTTTTTTTTTTTTTTAATCTTAGGATATTTTTCTCAAAAGACCCTAAATACTTAATTCCTCGAATATCATGGTAGGAAACAAGTTGGGGAAAGCCTTTCTCATAGCAGTTGACTGGAGGACCCCCGTCTTGCCGCTATCCTGCTTTCTCTGCCCTGGCTACTGCCTGTGTCCAGATGGCACTTACAAAAAGGGCTCAGGCCACTCTCTGCCCTTGGTCAGCTCCATGTGTGACCTGGGGGGTTCTGGCTGCTGCAGGGATCGCCAGCATCCCTGTCCACCTCATGCAGGGTGGGGCCACCAATGAGGACAGCACTAAGGTGGCAGGCACATGAAAGCATGACAATCCTGATTTTAAAGGTGGCTCCCCAGGCTGGCACATGAGAGGCACTGGGTTCAATCCTCAGCACCACATAAAAAATAAATAAAACAAAGGTATTGTGTCCATCTACAACTAAAAAAAAAAAAAAAAAAAAAAAAAATTTAAAGGTGGCTTCCCCAGTTTATTTTTTTTAATTTTAAAATCGGCATCATTGTACAAAATGCAAATTGAGAAAAGCAGAAAAGATATCACACATAATTCCACCACTTAAATTCTCTAGCACTTCCAGAGCTAAGGAGGCATGATGTTTACTGAGCTCCCAAGACCATTTTGGCAAGAGCATGCAACGCCTAAGCAAGTCTATGAACAGGAAAACATGCAGTGAGGAGGGAGTACAGCAAAGACCGGATGCCTCTCAAACCGTGTGACAAGCAATGTGGGTTTACTTATTGTTTGAATGGAATCAGTTTGAGCCTTACCCCTCCATATTCCCTGCAAAGAAGTTCAAATACCTTAAGCCCCTGCCTGCACATGGGGACTCGACCCCAACCCCTCTCTCTGACCATAATCAGATCCAAGTCAGTCCCCATTACACAAAATTTACATACCTCCTAGGTATGTAAGCAGCATCCATCATCAGTCTCAAATTTTCCAGTGGGAGTCCATTTGCCTCTGCAGGTAACCATGAGGATTGTCACTGAGAGCAGGGTATTAGACAACTCCCATCTGCTTCTCAGGTGACCACAGGGTGAGCAGGGTGTTAGAGGACAGCCACCACCTCCCCATGGGGTGTCTGAGAGCTTGGCCACCCCTTCTCATAACAGGGGCTGGTGATGACTGATTCTTGCACTCTGAGCTCCAGGTAAGTAGTCCAGCTGAGATGCAGCCAGTTAGGTAGTGCCCCATGCTCTCACAGACCAGGATATACATTTATAACTAATTTTGAAGGTTACTTTTTTTTGGTACTGCAGATTGAAACCCAGGGTGCTCAACCACCAAGCCACATTGCCAGCCCTTTTATATTTATCTATATGTGTGTATATACTTATACACATATACATACATATATATATATATATTTTTTTTTTTTTTTAATTTAGAGACAGGGTCTCACTAAGTTGCTCAGGACCTTGCTAAGTTGCTGAGGCTGGCTTTGAACTTGCAATCCTCCTGCCTCAGCCTCCCAAGCCGTTGGGATTACAGGCATATGCTCCCATACCTGGCTTGAAGGTTGCTCTTTAAAATATCTCTCTCTGGGGTCTGGGTTTTGGCTCAGTGGCAAAGTGCTTGCCTTGAACATGTCAGGCACTGGGTTCGATCCTCAGCACCATATAAAAATAAATAAACAACATAAAGATACTGTGTCCCTCTATAACTAAAATACTAAATAAATAAATAAAAACATTTCTCTCTAGTGTCAAATTGATTACTTAAATATAAGTTCTCATTTTACACCCAAAAAAGACTATCATAGAGTTTTTGTTTCAATTTTTAATCTTAAACAATTGGTAAGTTAGGGTGTTTAAAATAAGGGTTCTTTTTTCAGTACTGGAACTGAACTCAGGGTCAAGCATATGCTGGGCAATTGCTCTACCACTGAACTATATCCCCAATGCATATGAGTGTTTGTCTCTTTTTTTTAAAAAAAAAAAAAAAAAAACATTTTTTTTTTTAGAGAGAGAGAGAATTTTAATATTTATTTATTTATTTTAGTTTTCGGTGGACACACATCTTTGTTTGTATGTGGTGCTGAGGATCAAACCTGGGCCGCACGCATGCCAGGCGAGCGTGCTACCGCTTGAGCCACATCCCCAGCCCTGGACACAGTATCTTTATTTCATTTCTTTATTTTTATGTGGTGCTGAGGATCAAACCCAGGGCCTCGCACATGCTAAATGAGCACTCTACCACTGAGCCACAACCCCAACCCCTCATTTTATTTTGAGACAGGATCTCACTAAGTTGCCAAGGATGGTCTCAAACTTGGGATTCCCCTGTCTCAACCTCCTGAGTAGCTGGGGTTACAAGCATATGCCACTGTACCTGGAAAACATAGGGTTTAAAAAAAAATACCTGCAACTCATATCACAGGCAGAGAACAGCACTTCTAAAACAAAAGAGGGGAAAGGACCAGGATCCCTACAGAAAAACAGGCAGAAAATAAACAAATAGCTTTTGTTTTAGTCTGTTTTCTGTTACTATACCCAAATAACCAAAGCTGATAATTTAAAAGGAAACAGGTTTATTTTGGCTCATTGCCCAGGAGCTCTTAAGAGGATGGTACCAGCTTCTGCTCAGCTTCTTGTGAGGCCACATGGTGGAAGCAGAGCATCTAGAAGAGGGGTCACATGGTGAAAGAGAGGGAGGGGAGGTGCAGGTTGGGTTTATAACCACCAATTCTGGAGATAACTGATGTACCCTCAGGGAAGCTACCTGAATTCCTTCTTGAAGGTGGAGCTCTAATGACCATGTGTGGAACCCAGGGCCTCACATATGCTAGGCAGGTACTATACCACTGAGCTATATCCCCAGCTCCTAATTACCTCTTTAGGACCCCACAACCTCTCAATACCATCCCCATGGACTAAGCCCCAACATGAATTTTGACAGGAACAAACTATAGCCGTCCTCAAACATGAAAAGGTGCTCAGCTTCACTCACAAGATGCAAAATGAAATCATTTCCCCTCAGACTAGCAAAACCCAAAATATTTGACAATATACTTGATTCAAAGTCTTGGAACAACCCCATGGAAAGAAACCAAACAATATTTAGCAAAGATGCATTTACAATTGCACATTGACCAAGCGATTTCTAGAATGTATCCCAAAACTGAACTGAAAAAAACTGAACTGGCAAAAAGAAAGAAAAGATGGGTATAAAACTACTCATTACAGTGCTGATTTTAATAGCAAAAGACAGGAAACAGCCCAGGGTCTAGCAGCAGTGGACTGGGTTGCTCCCACTGTGGCATGTTCACATACTGGAGGGCACACAGCTGCATAAGAACAAAGAAAACCCG